GCTTGCATGTTGGGGATTCACAGATATCCAGGAGCTCAGTCCATAAGTCTGCATAGTGGTGATACTGCCTTTCCCAATCCCTCCTATAGCATGACTCCATGGGTTCAGTAAGTTTCCTATGCTGTCTGAGGTCATAGGCTTTCTGAGGTATTGTCGCTTCTTTGGAGGTTGGGACATCTGAAACTGGGTTTTGGGAACCAGGCTCCACGTTTACATCGAGGGTGGGTGGAGGGTTCGAGTCCTCTGGTACATCAGAGACATCTGTCATGGCTGAAGGCATTGCCATGCTTCAAACTGGCAAAAGGTGAATGTTGGAAAATTTAGTGGTTTTCCGTGTAATTCCCTTTTGTCCACTACGGTGTGCTGCAAGCGGGTATCTGACTGTAGAAACTTCTGCAAAATTCAGTACTTGACCACGTAGATGGCACTGCAGGCTTGTGGCTGAATTGAGAAAATTCAGTAAATTTCAGTGGTTGACCACTAGAGATGTGCGTTGCAAGGTATAGAAGACGTTGGTGCAGTACACTGGTTGGCCGCTAGAGGGTGCGTTGCGAGGTCTGGAAGACGTTGGTGCATTGCACAGGTTGGCCTGTTAGTGATACTTGCTAGGTCTGGGAGACGCTATTGTGATGCACAGATTGGCCTGTTAGTGTTGCTGGACCCTTGGATTAATGTAACAAGAAGTTGCTAAAATTAGGAAACTTCCTGTAAATTCAGTACTTGCCACGGGATGGAGATCCTTGAGTTGGGTGGCAAGGGTTGCTGTAAGCTTAGTTTTTTTTTAAAAAAAAAAATTTGTTTAGAATTTTCCTGTGAAATTTTCTACTTGCCACCAGATGGTGCTGTAGGCTAGTAGTTGAATGGCAGCCAATTAGGCTGAGATGAAAAGTCATTAAAGAGATGAAATACTTTAGTACATTGCATGAACACTGTGATTAAATAATTTCTCTTTGCTTTTAGATTGCTTCTAATTTTGTTAAAGGAAAAAAATCCTTCTTGGCTTCATCAGTAAAGAGAAAGGCAAGCTGCTTTCTTTGTTTAAATTGCTTGCTAAATTAAGTGTCTCTCTTCAGTGGAGGGATGTGCCCATTGCTATGGAGATGGCTCTGGCAAGAGGAATTTTTATGACTTGCAAGATGGCCTCTTAATTACTCTCTTCCTGGCAATGATCAGAGGAGAATCAGCTCTCGTTTTTGTTTAAAGACACAAGCAAGATTCCTCAGACTCTCCCACTGCATTTGTAAAGGGTTTTAAGACAGAAGTTTGATTTTCCCTTGAAAGACAGGGAATTTCTGGCTCTCCCAGAAGTTCAAACACTCAGCCTCTTGTTATGCAAATTGAGTCTTTGAGATAGCAGGAAGACAACAGAGATGCAAATTGAGACAGAAAGGTAATAGCTTATAAATTCTCTTGCTGAAGAGAGGAGGGGATCTCAGACCCCCTGCCTGTGAATTCAAACAGATTTGGTAACTTTGTGGCTCAGAAAGAGAAAACTAATTCAGGGAGAGAATTCAGGCAATCTGATTGCTTATAACTTTGCTTTGGAGACTCAGATTAGCATTGTACTTTATTTTTCCAGGAATCCAGATAAACAACGTTCTTTACTGTGGAATTTTCCTTTTACTGTTGGGAATCCTGATTCATTCTTTTCAGATCTCATCATCATTTTACTGGGAATCCAGATTCATCCTTTTACTGTTCTGCACCTTACAACCACTAGCTGATTATAAAGCAGACAGTTAACTCCACAAAGCATCCATACAAAGTCTTTTTATTGGTTCATCAGGCATCCTCAATATAACTCACAGTTATGTCGAGATTCATCTCAATGTCCAACTCTTTGCATAACTTACTTTCTGGTGTAAAAGGATGGTAATCTCTTATCCTACATCAAAGGAGCAAGGAGGTGAGATGCCAGCATGATGCTGGGTTCAGGCAAGAGTAAAGGAACCTCCCACAACCCACCAAGGATCAATTCAGTGACCAATCAGGATTACAGATGTGGCCACATGACATGGACTACATTTCCCAGGATACCTTAACTACATTTACCATGATGCATTCCCTTAAGGGGACAGCTCCCAATTCCTAACTAACTATCCCAATTCCCTATTAACTATAACTGGCTGAACAGCACAGTGTATGTTTCTTTTATCCTGCTATTGTTTCTGGCTCCACCAGATTCTCCAAACCCAGTTTAAGTATATACATGCAATATAGAGATGTTTGTGGAGATTAAATATCTATGGAAATTCTCAGTAAACCAGGTCATGGTTGTCCCAAAGGTGCTTCAAGAGGCAACTGGATTTTCTGTTATTGTTGTTGTTTTGTTGTTGTTGTTGTTTTTGATGACATTTCGCTTCTCACCCAAGAAGTTTCTTCAGCTCTGAAGAAGCTTCTTGGTTGAGAAATGAAATGTCTTCAAAGAAAAACCAGTTGCCTCTTGAAAAAGTACTTTAGGGACATCTGTGGAGATTCTTAGTCATCCAGGTCACAGTTGTCTCAAAGATGCTTTTTCAAAAGGCAGTCAGACTGTTTTTTCCCTGAATTTTTCCCTCAGGAAAAAAAAGAGTTCAGTTGTCTTTCGGAAAATCACCTTGGGCAATATAGGAACTGAGAAAATTGAGAAACCTTCTGCGCCTAATCAGAAAGCTCAAACTGCCCAAGGAACTGCTGATACAGTTCTACAGAGGAATTATTGAGTCTATCATCTGCACCTCTATAACTGTCTGGGTTGGTTCTGCAACCCAATAGGACAGACACAGGCTTCAGAGGATAACTAGGACTGCAGAAAAAACAATTACTACCCACCTGCCTTCAATTGAGGACCTGTATACTGCATGAGTCAAAAAGAGGGCTGTGAAAATATTTACAGACCCCTCACATCCCGGACATAAACTGTTTCAGCTCCTTCCCTCAAAACTACGCTATAGAGCACTGCACACCAGAACAACTAGACACAAGAACAGCTTTTCCCCGAAAGCCATCACTCTGCTAAACAAATAATTCCCTCAACACTGTTCAACTATTACAAAGTGCACTACTATTACTGTTAATCTTCTCACCACTCCTTATCATCCATCCCCTCCCACTTGTGATTGTAGGACTGTAACTTTGTCGTTTGTATACTTACGATTTATATTGACTATTTCTTCATATGATTTGATTGTTTATTGTACACTTGATGAAGGTATTTTTTCTTTTATGTATACTGAGGGTATTTACACCAAGACAAATTCCTTGTGTGTCCAATCACACTTGGCCAATAAAGCATTCTATTCTATTCTTGCTATGTTTATTTGCTTATGAAAATCCACAAGAGGGCAGTAGAGTTCTTCCTTTACAAGAGCATTGCTCAGACCAGTTTTTTCAATCTTGGTAATATTAAAATGTATGGACTTCAGCTCCCAGAATTCCCCAGCGAATATGCGCGTTGAAGTCTACACATCTTCATGTTGCTAATGTTGAGAAACACTGGACTAGAATGTTTCATGATAGTTGAGCAATAAGCAGAAAAACAGAAGTACATTTTCCATGTAGGGAGAGAGAGTTAAATTAAACTATTTTAAAAGAGCTGTGTAGCACATAAGATACCCCTCTGGTTTTAAATAAAATTTCCACTGATTTGAGCTTCACTTATAGTAGTTTCATATCCATATCTATATCATTTTCATGGTAACAGTATGATATACAAACATTGATTTAGTGACCATTCAGAGTTACAACAGCACTGGATAAAGTGATTTATGACTACTCCTTGAGTAGTCATCACAGCATCCCTATAGTTACCGTATCTAAATTTGCACACATTGGCAACCAGTAGCAATGTCCTGGAGTCATATGGTCACTATTTTCAACCAGCTTCCAACAAACAAAGTCAATGGGGCAAGGCAGATTTGCTTAACAACGACGTGATTCAACAACTCAATGACTTGCTTAACAACCATGAAAAAAATGGTGGTAAAATCAGACAAGATTCACTTAAAAACTGCCTTGATTAGCAAAATATTGGTCCCAATTGTGGCCATAAGTCAAAGAATACTTGGAATTCAAATTCCTTTGTTTGTAAGTTTGTTTATTATTATTTTTTTAAAAAGGTTATAAATGATTCAAAGGCTTAAGAAACCTAATCATTATTTTTAAGAGATCATGTTTTTTATATCCCATTATATTGTAAGACATTATAATGTACTTTAAAATAAATTAAGAGTTGCATAACATTGTGGCCAAACTCTGGTTTACTTAATGTGACCAAATCACTTTGAAGATACAATATACATAATTTTATTAGCATGTAAATAATACAATATAAACTGGCTCCTAGAAAGCATTGTCAGCTTGCTGTGCAGACATGATCAAAAGCAGAACCTTTTGTTGATTACATTTCAAAGAAAAAGGCAGAGCCAGTATACAGTACTGTAAATTACAACCTGATATTGGAATATTTTTTGATAAACTCATCTGTGTGATTTTATTTATTCCTCTCTGACAGGCTAGCTATATATATCTGAGGTATGGCTGGTGAATATAAACAATTTGATTTCCTGGGCCAGAGACTTCTGGCTGATTCTTCCTTCTGCCACTATTCAGGGTCCATTCAGCAGGCTTTGAATGTTTAATTATAAGGTTTAATTGTAGGAACAACCATACCCACATGGAGGAATCTCATAGGTTTTGCCGTGAATGCAGCTCATGTGGGAAGGGATATCTTTTATCACTAGAGTAGATTGACATCTGCCGTCAATCTCTAGTTTTCTTGCCTTCCGTAGATTGCAAAATATGAAATTGGCTTAGTTTCCACAACATTCAAATCATACTATCAGTAGCACACTGGCTGAAATGGTGCAATGTGGTAAACTCAATCAAGAAAAACTTGTGATATTCTACAGCCAGGTGCATCTTAGAGACGGGTCAGTTTCTTGAGACCAAAGGCCTTACCTCACTTCCCCCTTTGCTAATCAAACCATCTCTCTTTGTCTCTCCTCATATTTTCTCAACAGACTTTTGCAATAGCAGCAATTTGCCAGAAGTGGAAATCATCAGCCTTCTGGGGGAACAACTGCCCTTGTATAAACTCCGGGCAGACACAGTATTTGGATATGACCACAAAGATTGGATTCAGACATCCCAGGTCTCCTCTGATGCTGCTACTGCCCTCACATTCAAGCAGATTGAAGAGACACTAGAATATTTCTGTAAGTAATCTCTGGGGAGAAGTCAAACCGATCTATAAGTCTAACAGTAATTTTTAGTTTTAAAATTTCTTTTTGACTCCTTAGAGCAGGGTATACATGCTGTTTTGAAAAAAAAATCACAATAACTTTATGAGGTAAGATGTTATTATTGATGTGGTGCAAAAGGAGGAGAAGCTGGGTGTCAGCCGTGAAGTCATGATCTGATTGCGGTGGTGTCCAGGAAATTCTGAAGGAACTGAGATGAGGCTTCAGTAAAATAATCCCTATTCCTAATAGCTATCTTTTTATGTTACTCATAGTGGTATATCTCTATACTACCATTGTAGAATTCAATTCCTGGGCTTTTGACTTTGTGGACCACATGGTATATCTTTCTTACTCATGAACATTTTAAACATATTTACAGTACTCAGAAGGGCTAGCTCCTTGCCAATCCTTTTTTATTTAATTAAGCTACTCCTTTTTTAAAGTAGTCATTGTGATAAAGGAACAAGAAATGTTTTCCAGAATTGCTATTATGAGAATCTGTAAAAAGAACAAAAGAAAGACCTGATTTTTCGCAAGAGGAGGTGAGAATGATACCACTGCATTATATACATTTTCATGGAAATAATTCCCACTATGTTCAGGAAGTTTTTGTTTTTTTAAACAAACTTTATTGATTACAAAACCAAAATATCAAACAAACGCAACACACAGAAGAAGAAGAAAAGAAATAGAAAAAAAGAAAATGATTAAAAAACTAACAATTCTACTATCAACAGTCTATGGTTCCTTGTTTGTTATCAATATTGGTGATACATTTACAAATACATCTTATTGGGAATATATAATTATGATTTACATTTTACGTTATTTACTAATATATTTTCTATTTTTGTTCTATCCAGTCATACCAGCATTCCCAGTTTCTATAATATTCTGATGTTTCTTTTTCCTTAAGTGCTAAGGTTAACTTGTCCATCTCTGCACAGGCTGTTATCTTTTGTATAGCCATCTCCTCTGTTGGAATATCTGCTTGTTTCCAACACTGTGCAAAGGTTATTCTGGCTGCAGTAAGAATATGCAGTATTATATATTTGACATTTTTAGGAATTTGCCTATTAAATATCCCCAATAGGAAGAATTCTGGTTTTAATTGAATTTGCTCCGCCGTTATTTCCTCTAACCATTTTTTTATTCTATGCCAGTATCTTTGGGCTTCAGTGCAGGACCACCACATATGAAAAAATGTTCCCTGTTTCTTTTTACATTTCCAGCAATTTGGATTCATGTTAGGAGACATTTTCGCCATTCTCAAGGGTGAGAAATGCCATCTATAAAACATTTTATAGGCATTTTCTTTATATGCTGCTGATCTTGTAATTTTATTATTCCTTGTCCAAACCTTTTCCCATTCTAATAATGTAATGCTATATCCTATGTTTCTGCTCCAAGCTATCATGTTGCCTTTGACTACTTCCTCTTCTTATTCCATCTCTAGTAAATAATTATAAAATTTAGTTATATTTTTTTTATCTGGCCCTAATAAAATTTTATCTATTTGTTGTGCCTTAGTATAAATTCCAAATTTTTTCTTGTCCTGGCTATATTTATTTTGAATTTGCAAGTAAGCCTACCGGTCTACTTATAGCCCCTGTTCTTGGAGATTTTGCCATGATTTTAAAGTTCCTTGCGTGTTGTAATGACGAGGCAGTCGAGGTGTTTGATCATGATCAAATGAATCATGATGAACTTTATTGGAGTCTAGTCTTGCATTTATACACATTTTTAGTAATCCTCCAACATTGGTTAACTTTGGTTACTGCTTAACTTTCGTTACTGTTTAGCATAATAATTAACACAATTAATTATCTCTAGTTAAAGTCTAACATATGTTTACTTCCTCTCTCTAATCCTCCTTTACATTAGTGACTTTGTTTGCCTGAGTTGTAATTGCTTGTAAACATTCCTTATCTGAGGTTTGCCACCCAAGATAAGAACATTCCTGCAATTACAACTCTACACTTGCGCATCAAGAAGGTCTTTGTATTTTATCATTTTATTAAGATCTAGATTATTTGGATGTATCATCGCCTCCATCGTTGAGATCCAAATTGGGATTTTTAAATAATGTTTTTTTTATTTTGTTCCAATTAGCCAATAAGGAATCTCTAATTATATGTCTGTGGAAATACTTCTGCTTAATTTTCCCAACGTCCCATAAAAATGCATGCCATCCCCTCTGTAAATCATGGCCTTCTAAAAATAAGATCCTTTTATTTGACAGATTTACCCACTCTTTCAACCAGAGTAAGGAGGCTGCACTATAGTATAATTCCCAATTTGGGAGTGCCATACCTCCCCTGCTCTTCATATCTTGCATTGCGTTTAGGTTTATCCTCAGTTTTTTCCCTTGCCAGATAAATTTGGTGATTATCTTGTTAAGTTCCACTAAGTAATTTTTATGTATTTTTATTGGTATTGTTTGGAATAAGTAAATAAATTTGGGCAGAATATTCGTTTTTATAGTAGCAATCCTCCCTAATAAGGAGATTTGCAATTTAACCCATATCTCTAAATCTTTTTTAATTTGCTGTAATAATTTATTATAATTATTTTCCATTAGAGTTTTGCATTGGGCCGTTAACCAAATTCCTAGGTATTTAACTTTTTTTACTATTTGTAATCCCATTATCCTTTCCAATTTTAGTTTTTGTTTTTCTGTTAATTTTTTAGTTATTAATTTCATTTTTCCCTATTAATTTTAAGTCCTGCAACTTCCCCAAATTGATCTAACTCTTTCAATAGTTCTTGACCTGTTTCAATTGGTTCCTCTATGAAAAATACCATATCATCCGCAAATGACTGGAATTTATATTCTTCTTTTTTAATTTTTAGTCCTTTTATTCCTGGGTTCTGTCTAATTCGTGTAAGCAATGTTTCCAAAGATAATATGAAGAGCAGGGGGGATAATGGACATCCCTGCCTGACTCCTTTCTCTATTTTTATTGAGCGCATGTACTCTCCATTAATTGTAATATTCGCCTTTTGTGAATCATAAATTGTAGTCACGATGTTTTCAAACTTAGTGCCTAGATTCATATTGTAAATTTGTTGAATTAGGAATTGCCAATTTAAATTGTCAAAGGCCTTCTGTGCATCCAAGAATACAAGGGCTATTTGTTTTTCCGGGTGGGCTTCGTAGTATTCCAAAACATTTAATACTATCCTTAAATTATTCCTGATTTGTCTATTAGAAAGAAATCTGTTTTGATCTTTATGTATATATTCATTCAATATTTTTTTCAATCTATTTGCTATAATTGTAGTAAATATTTTATAATCAGTGTTTAACAGGGAAATTGGTCTATAGTTTTGTATATGTCGTGAATCTGAATCTTCTTTCAGAATCAACAATATCAATGTCTCCTTCCATGAATCCAGCATTCTCGCTGCTAGTAGGACCTCATTATATACTTTCACCATGAGAGGTCTTATTTGTTCTATTTTTTTATAAAGTTCCCCTGGTATCCCGTCGGGTCCTGGGGTTTTACTGTTCTTTTGGTTTTCTATTGCTGCTTTTAACTCGGGCCACGTAATATCTCTAAGTAACATTTCCTTCATCTCCTCCTTAATTATTTTATCTTTAGTAATACCCAAATAGTTTCTTATCATATCCTCATTTACCTCCTTCTTTTTATAAAGATCTTCAAAAAATTTACATGCAATTTCTTTTTTCTGTTCTATCCCTTGTTGGGCATCCCCATTCTCATCTATTAATTGGTAGATCAATCTTTTTTGTTTTTCTTTTTTAAGTTTATAGGCCATCCACCTTCCTGGTTTATTGGCCTATTCAAAGAATATCTGTCTGGCTGTATTTAACTTTGAGACCATTCCTTCTTGTTCGATTAAATTTAATTTATGTTTAGTTATTATCATCTGTTTTTTCAATTTGCAATCTTTTGGGGTGTTTGCAGCTCAATTTCTAATTCTTTGATTCTTTGTTCTAATTTATTTTGTTGGGCATATTTTTCTTTATTTCTTTTAGCAGTGTATGATATCGTTATGCCTCTTATTATTGCCTTCATTGTATCCCAAATATTCTGTTTCGTAGTTGCCTCATTATTATTTCCTTTTAAAAAATAATCTAATTCCTCATCAAGTTTATTCATAAATTCTTTCTCTTTAATTAACTGTGTATTTAAGGTCCACCTTTTCCTTGGTTTCTTCCTGCCTTTCCACACTATCTGAATCGGGTTGTGATCTGCCCATTCGTTTGGTAAAATTTCAATCTCTTTTAATTCATTTACTAATTCACCATTCATCCACACCATATCAATTCGTGTCCATGATTGGTGAGGGTTGGAGTAAAATGTAAATTGCTTTTTCTCAGGGTTTAATTTCCTCCACATGTCTACCAAATTTAGTTCAATCATCATTTCTTCACATGTTTTTGGTAGTTCTCTTTTTTTCTTCTCCCCCCCCCCCCCACTATGATCTTTCTGGTGGTCCACAATAGCATTGAAATCTTCCAAGATACAAATATTCCTTTTATCTAATTCCACTAATTTCTCATGTAATTGTTTAAAAAATTCCTTTTGGTTATCGTTAGGGGCATAGGTTACCACTAGTAGAATTAGAATTGATTTAATCCAAATTTGTAACATCAGAATTCTTCCATTGGGGTCTATCCAAATTGGCTCTGCTTTCATATCGTCTTTCACATATACTGCTATCCCTTTCTTTTTCCTAAAATCTGCTGGCGATGTATACAAATTCCCTAGCTTGGGGCATTCTAAATATTTTTCTTCTTCCTTCCTTATATGAGTTTCCTGTAAACATATTATATCTGCATTTTGTTTAATTAATTTGGTTAATATTCTTTTCCTTTTTATCCTAGAGTTTAGGCCATTTATGTTAATTGATAGTATTTTTTTTTCTTCATCCATCACCTAATTGACTCTTGCTCTTTGTCTTGTAGTTACTCCTGTCTCTCTTTGTGGCTGATTGTGTGTCTT